AGGCGTTCCTCAATCAGCATGGCATCAAGCATGAGAAGACGTTGCCGCACACACCCCAGCAGAACGATTTGGCTGAGCGCATGAACCCGAGCCTCCTGGAGATGGCTCGTTATCTGCGCTATCGTGAGAGCGTCAACAAAAACTGGTGGGCGGAGGCGCCCAACACTGCGGCATGGATCATCGACCGGATCCCCAACTCGCTGGCTGTGAAGACACCATACGAGACTGTGTACAAGTCGAAGTCACAGCTCAAAACTGTCAAGGTGTTCGGTGCATTTGGTTACGCTCGCATCCCCAATGAGAAACGTCGTTAGCTGGATGCCAAGCCGTTCAAGTATCGTTTTCTCGGCTACGAGGATGGTGTGAAGGGCTACCGAGTTCTAAATGTGACGACGGGAAAGGTGCAAAGCGTGCACACAGTCAAGTTCAAGGAGACGGCGAATCCCCAGCACCTGATGGATGACGAAGAGGAACAAATTTCCACGGTCATGAATGGACAGCCGTCAACGGGTTCGATGGAAATCGTCCCTGCCGACATTGAAGCTCGTTACGTGATCCCACTTCAACGTGACGTGTGCGGAAACAGGGAGATCGTTCCATATGAATCGACCTACCCCATGATCACTCGGTCGCGTACTCGACACATTGACGAAATCGATGACCCTGAAGAATAAAGCGCTTCTAAGAAGCAAATCATCATGCCATCGACTACGGGGATCAAGCGGCAGAAGATGACTCCAGAGAGGGTCAAACCAAGTGATGACCAATTGGCTCAGGAAGATGACCAGGTGTTGGTTGCATCAGAAGTGGTCAAACCAAGTGATGACCAATTGGCTCAGGAAGATGACCAGGTGTTGGTTGCATCAGAAGCACTCCCAAAGACGTACACAGAGGCAACGTCAGGCGACGACCAAGACGAAAGAAAGAAGACAATTGTAAGTGAATTGGAGTTGCTCACTACAAACAAGAAGTGGAAGCTGGTACCAAGACCGGCTCACCAGCGCCCAATCAGATGCCGATTGGTATTTGCGTTGAAGCGCAACGATAAAGGAGAAGTGGTCCGGCACAAGGCTCGTCTCGTTACCAAGGGTACTCTCAACGTTGTGGAATCGACTATGAAGAAACGTACGCGCCTGTGGCTTACCTGAACTCGATCCGTGCAGTGCTTGCCAAGTGCTGCGCTGAAGGGTTTGAGATCGAGCAGTGTTATGTGGATACTGCGTTCTTGTATGGAAAGGTCGACGAAGAGATCTACATGGAATTACCTGAAGGTCTCTGCGAGATCAGGACATTGGTCGATGCTGAAGGTGAAGAAAACGTCGTCTGCCTACTACTGCAAAGTTTGTATAGCCTCAAGGAAGCATCTCGTGTTTGGAATGAGACGATCAACGGTCACGTCGAGAGCATGGGTTTCAAGGCTGCTGATGCTGATCACTTACGATGATTACGATGACGACATGCTGATCGCTTCAAGGGACAAGGGTGGCATCGCGTCAGTAAAGGCTGGAATCGCGGAGAAGTTCCGGATCACAGACCTCGGACGCGCTTGACTCATTTTCGGTATCAAGATTGACTACGACATGGATAGTAAGACACTGGGTATTTCTCAACGTGCTTATACCGAGTCGATGATCAAGAAGTTCGGTCAAGAAAACGCGAAGCCAAACCTGCTACCACTAGACCCAAGTCTGCACCTGACCAAGGACGACGGACCACAGACCGAGGAGGACAAGACCTAGATGAAGTCAAAGCCCTACCGATCACTCATCGGTAGCCTAATGGATCTGGCATGCGGAACGCGACCTGATATTTCGGTCGTTGATTCCAAGCTGAATCGCTTCCTGGAAAACCCCGGTGAGGCGCAGTGGAATGCTGGAATTAAGGTGGTGTGCTACCCGTTGAAGACTAGGAATAAAGCCCCCGAACACACCCCCTTGAAGATAGCCAAAATACAGAGTAAAATATACAAATATACAGCCGTTACTTATTCTTTGAGACCCTTGAACGGAAGGTCTATCACCAATCAACTGAGTATACGCTTTAGACACTGGTCAGTCTGATTCTCTTCACGCGCGTCACCCTCTGGGAGGGATACAATACTATCACCTCTCTGAAACGCAGTCTACTTATAAACTTGCAGGGGACTACTAAACCTAAACCCTTCAAGTAGAATCGTTAACATGAAATGGGAACCCCGCCCTTACCTTCATTCAATAGGCCCAACTGGGAAATGGAATGCCGTGGATCAACTCTGCAAAGTCATCGCGCTCGATCCCCACTGACAATTTGGACTTGAAACTTCTGAGGAAGTACGCGGCGTCCTTCAGCACGCGCCCTCGATTGCGGGTCCCCGAACGAATTCGACTTGCGGTTAACTAGGTAAACTAACTCTGTTTATCACTCTTATACTTCGGCTATCTTCTTTCTAAATCAGTCTGGTAATATCTTGTGTTCTGTATACCTTTGGGGGGATTCACTTGGTCTTTGTATAGGGTGGGTGTACTTAGCTGTCGTCAAACTTGGACCTCCACGCCTCCGGGTCGTCTCTTCTGCTCTGAAACTGGTCTTCTCTCCACAGGATTCTTGGTCTCACATACCACTCACAGTCGTAGCATATCTAGGTTCGTTGTTCGGGCACCCTGACATTGTCGCACTCCAAAATTTGTCTATCCTGAAAACTGGGAAACGGCCTCATCACAGGATTCGCAGCTAAATGATTCATCCACTCTTAAGTCAATTGCAGTTAACTGCCAATCTGTATGCCGAAAAAGTACATTGAAAACACTGCGTCTAGGGTGGCCAAGGCTCGTAAGTCATCGCGTTATGGCTTGGTTGTCATCAGAGACTACTACCATGGCCAAATCCACAGGGGATTTCAGCTCCAAACGATACAGAGTGGTCTCATCAACATGTGCAACTGCCCTTCCTTCCTGGAACATCACTTCTGAATAAGACGCATCATCAAAATGAATCCTCACTTTATCTTTCTTTGGTAGGGTGCGTGCAAGCTGTCTACGCACTGAAAACAAGCTGCACTGAAGTTCCGGTACATAACGCACTGTTATGGTATATCTTCCTCGCGATATCTGGATTTCTTTCTTTACGGTTCCAACACCAGCGAGATTTAACCAGTTCTTGCCTCCAACACGAACCAAAGCACTTATCTGTGTGAATGAGACAAAATCAATTTTCTGGTTAGAAATATGACTTGACGCTCCAGAATCCAAGTACCAGCGCTTGTGGGCTAGCTTTAAAATATTTGCCGGCTGCTTCAAAAGTGCAGTGATAATGTATGTGCTATCATCACTATCATGATCAGCATACGGACCCTTGATTGCAGCTTTCTTCCCTTGTCCATTTCCTCCTGTCTTTGGCTGTTTTATTGAGGCTCCTCTCGTTGAGAATCACCAGGTGGGCGTTTGCCCAGGTACGGACATTGAAAAATATGATGGGACTCATCGCCGCAGTGAAAATATCCCCTGTTGCCACTCTGTCCACCACGTCCACCACCGGGTCTTCGTCCGGCACCACAACCACTACCAAAACTTCGGCCTCGTCCACGGCCTCCACCACAACCGCGATTTCTACGTCCACCGTCAAACCCGCGACCACGTCCTCGGCCTCGACCTCTACATGCACTACCGACCAATGCTGAATCTTCAGTATTTCTTGTCCTTCCTGTTTTCGGCTTTGTCGTTGATCAAGTCCAACTTCCAGAGCATATTCCAACTGGTCATAGTTCGGTGGGTCGTTCACATCACGGGATATATGGCTTGCAAGATAAGTCTCTACAACATTTTCATCGTTTGTTGGAAGAGTACCAATTAATAACGCTGGCTGCTCATAATCGTCCAACGGCTTGCCCAGTAGCGCAACTCTATCCATTAATCTGCGTACTTTACCTAAATGATCAGCCACATTTCCATTGTTCTGAAGCTGAAGTTGTCTTAATTGGGTCAACTCTGCGGTATACCTGAAGTACGTCTTCTTGACGAATAACTGCTTTAAATCTCTCAATAACACGAACAGCGGAAGGCTCAAATATCACTGTCTTCATGATTATATCAGTCATTCCATCGTAGATTATCTCCTTTGCTCGTGCTGACTCCTTTTTCCAGGTTGCATGTTCGTCCACCTTTGATTCTTCAGGTTCATCAATCTCCTTTTCAAAATACCGCCACAGATTCTTGCGCTCCAACTTCAATTTAATCCTTTCGATCCAAACCTCAAAGTCTTGGCCATCCAATGGAGGGTGGGCAAGCTTTTTCTCCTCCGCTGGCTACTTCTGCTCGTTTTTCTTCTGATCTCCACTCGTACTCATGGTTTCTGAGTGACCTTCATGATAGTTACAATACAAATATCCCTCTCCTATCATCGCATGGCAGTTCATTGGTCGTGGTAGCTTCGGTCAAGTCTGGGCGAAGTACAACTGCTCAATCGAGAGTGAAGGTAGCGACGAGGCTTTGTCGCTGATGTGAGTCTAAGAAAGTAGATTTGAAAGTGATTGAGATTGATTCAGGATAAATCCTCTGACAGACGTATTGGCAAGTATTCTAAGAACAACCCCACAAAGGTTCATGACCTATCCCCAAGAAATGGAATCAGGACTAGAAAAAGTTGCATAGGTATAACCTCCTCTTTCGCCAATCACATCCTGTGAAATAAGGTGATCAGCCAACCAGATCGCACCATTCACCTCACTTCAACTATGACACACGCATGGCATGCGCTTGTCGTGTGCATAGCGGTAGTGATCAAGAGGAGCAGATGCCGAAATGCAATCATAACACCCCACTCAATTCGACGTCTCTATCTTGGGTCCCATATTGCCGCGAGTCACCAAGTAGCGTAGCGTCATCGATGACTAGCCCTTGGTGAGGAAGTCCGCGAGTAGGTTCTTCGACGTCTCGTAGACGAGCTCAATTTCACCAGTCGAAGCCTTCTCTCTTTAGTAGTGATAACGAATGTCGATGTGCTTGATGCGAGCTGGGTAACCGACGATCTTCGCCAACTCTATGGCACCCTGGTTGTCCTCATAGATCACCGTAGAGTCCACTTGCTCTGCACCGATATCCTTCAGTCGACGAAGCCACACCACTTCCTTAATGAACTCGCTTAGACCAATGTATTCTGATTCCGTAGAGCCCAGCGCGACTGTCTTCTGGAACGTCGAACCCCATACCACCGAAGCACCACACATCATGAGCATCATTCCGGTCACTGAGCGTCTGTCGTCGCGGTTACTGGCCCAGTCAGCATCCGAGTAAGCCCTTAGCTCCGTTCCTAGTAGGTCATCATACGTGATGACCACCTTCTTGGTCTAAAAGGGGGAGTTTCAGACAGTAAACGACCAACCCGTCACTCTCAGTGCCTATATTAACCACCAACCCGGCAGGTTGTCAGGCTGCCACCAAGATCGAACCCAAAGGGATTCACAAGGACCACACGCCGACTCTGGTGCGTTCGCGTCCCAGAGTATCTGACCCCAGTGCCAGAGGGTTCTCCAATTCTCTGGACTCCTGGGCTACCGCACTATACACTTGCGGCGAAAAAGGTTCACCGACCTCGCCACAATCCTGCATCAAAGGCAAGATGACGAGAAAAAGTTTTCACTCGAATAAAATTGTGTCAGGTCGTGAATGGTTAGTTGGAGAACGTGTTCAGATTGATATTTGGGGTCCATATGCAGTTGAGTCGTATTCTGGAAAGATATACTTTGCTCTTTTTGTTGATGACGCAAGTAGATTCTCAACGTTGTACCTGTTGACAGAACGGTCAGAGATCTACGAAAAGTTTAATATATCTTATGATAGCGTCAAGACACAGCTGAAAGTGAGAATGAAGTCACTTTGATACGACAATGCGCGGGAGCTTTTTGCACTTGCGGAGTGGTGCAAGCAGAAGTATGGAATGGTGTGCTCACCAACTATAAAGCAAAATGGAGTTGCTGAGAGGATGATTCGAACTGTAACGGATCGTATGCAGTGTTTATTGGTGCATTTAGATCTACCCCAAGCATTGTGTGCTGAAGCGGCTGTGACGGCTGTTTACTGCATCAACATCGTTCCGAATCTGCAGAGAGGAATGGAAGTACCATATTCAGTGTGGTTTCGCAAGGCACCTGAGTATCCTAGACTCCGAATGTTTGGTTGTGCAGTTTAACGTACGTTGACAAGTGTGAGCGTAAGAAATGGATCTAAAAGTTCGAGAAGCGGTGTTTGTGGAATACTCACGAGAAAAAAGAGATTACCGCCTTCTTTATAGCAAGACAAACAAGTCGTTTTACAGTCACACAGTCATTTTCTATGAAACAAGCTCGGGAGAATTTTGATAGGATCTGGAAGTACTCCAACAACAAATGCTCCTACGGTTAAGTACTTGAACATTGACGCTGCTACCTTGCAAAACATCCCACCCACTATTGAAAGAAGCTTTCGAGGATAG